AAAGATGGCATTAAATAGACCATGAAAAGGATACTAGTTTGCAGTACGAAAGAGAAGGCAGAATGTCGTCTGGTCTGATCTTGTTTGACCTAAGTAGAAAGCATGCACATCAGGTGACCCAAATTTTTTGCCACTCTGTGCAGGTTCAAAAATGACCACCAAGCATGGCGGCTCATGCCTGTAATCCCAGTACCTTGGGAGGCAGAGGCAAGAGGATCGCTTGAGGCCAGGAGTTCAAGGCTAGTCTGGGCAACATGGTGAGACCCCCATCTCTACCCCCAAAAAAAAATTAGCTGGGCATGGTGGCATGTGCCTGTAGTCTCAGCCACTAGGGAGGCTGAGGCAGGAGAATCACTTGAGCCCGGGAGTTCAAGATTATAGTGAGTTATGATCACACCACTGCACCCCAGTCTGGATGACAGAGAGATACCCCATCTCTTAAAAAGTAAAATAAATATTAAAAATGACCGTAAAAGTGCTGTGCGTATTCATTTTGGAGTTAACAACAAATTTTAGCAAGTACAGAAGTTCACACATACAGAATCCATGAATATTGAGGAGCAACCATCTTTCAGAAGAAACTGAAACTTCCATTCCTGAGATTCTCATTTTTACTTACGTAGAAGGGAAAGGAGGTTAAGGAATTAGAACATAATATCGAAAAGGCTCCCAAACACTAAAAATCCTACTATTTGAAAGGCTCTCTTTGTATATACTTCACTCAACCTTCTGCCCTGTCCCAAGGACATTAGCTGCAACCCCAGTGAGCAATCTGGGGCCTCTGCCTAAACACCATGGGAAAACAAGTTCCTGGGCAGCTCGCCTCATCACAGACAGCTCCCACTGTCAAGAGGTTCTTCCTCTGATTGAGGTAAACTCTGTCTTCCTGTAAGAACTACGTCCGGGACTGAGTTATTTCTGCCATCCCCACTACTCTGTTAATGCCTCTCCCACACGACAGATGCTCAAGTACAGTCTTGCATTACTTAATGACAGGGAGGCATTCTGAAAAACGCATTATTAAGTAACTTCACTGTTGTGTGAACATCGTAGAGTGTGCTTACACAAATCTGGATGGTGTAGCCCATTACACACCTAGGCTAGATGGAATAGTCTATTGCTCCTAGGCTACAAACCCAGGATGTGCAGCATGGGACTGTGCTGAATACTGTAAGCAAGTGTAACACAATGGTAAGTATTTGTGTGTCTAAACAATCCTGAACATAGAAAGGGTACAACAAGGCCAGGTGCGGTGGCACAAGCCTGTAAACTCAACACTTTGGGAGGCTGAGGCTGACAGATCACAAGGTCAGGAGTTCAAGACCAGCCTGACCAACGTGGTAAAACCCGGTATCTACTAAAAATACAAAAAAAAAAAAAAATTAGCTGGGCGTGGTGGTGCACACCTATAATCCCAGCTCCTCAGGAGGCTAAGGCAAAATAATCACTTGAACCCAGGAGATGGAGATTGCGGTGAGCTGAGATCATGCCACTGCACTCCAGCATGGGCAACAGAGCAAGATTCTGACTCAAAAAAATAAAAAAGAAAAGAAAAAGAAAGAGTACAACAAAAACACAGTATGATAATCTTATGGGACCACCGTCACATCATATATGTGATCCGTCATTACGCAGTAGACGACTGTAATTGAAGATAGTGTCATGTTTTTCCCTGCCCAGGTGTGGGATTACCATAGACAACAACATTTAGACTACAGAAAAATTGTGTCCAGATTCTACCATTTGAGATAAGATGGGAATTTAATTTGAGCTATGGGCAGAACTTCATTTGCTTTTCACACAAACTTTCTAAATTGGAGCTATTTCTCTAATGATGACAATGGGCAATTTCTGGGTACTTGCTAGGTGCCAGCCCCTGTCTGAAGCACTTTGCACATATGACCACATTTAGTGTAATTAACTGGAGAAGAGAAACACGGCCTAAACCTTGAAAAACCCAGGTGAAAGATAACAAGGACTTGAGCCAGGGCAGCAGCCATGGCGGTGAGAGACAGATTGGCGGTAGGACTGAGAGGGCTTGGAGGCCGGCCAGATGTGGAATGCGAGAGAGGGAGGTGTGGAAGACGGTGTGGCTTCTGGCCTAAGAAACTGGATAGATTCCATGCATTCAAATCAATCAATATTGGAGGCCCTTTAGAATAGGTTTGAGGGAAAGGCAGAAGCACTGGTTTGGGCAATGACTTACTGGAAGACTCCACACATCACCCAAAATACAGGCCTACATCTCTGCTCTGGCCTCACTCCCTCTCTGCCTGATAAATCAGAGGGCTGGGCTGCAGTCCCTGAGGGCTGAAACAGGGCAAACAGGGGCAGGACTAGGAACATCAGACTGCAGATAAGAACTGAAGGTAGATGCTACTTCAGGGAGTGAACGTGAACTTCTGCAGTATGCTCCTCCCAAATGCCTGATGAGTGGGTGCTCCACTTCCCTATTCACATGAACACATGCACACACACACGCACAAACACGAGTGCACATGCATGTGCAAATATATACACACTTACACACGCATGCACATGCACACAATACAAACATGCACACACACACACACACATACATGCACACCTGTGTGCACATACACACACACACATACCAGAATTAAAACACAGTCTGGCAATAGATCAGCCACAGTGCATCTCTACCTGGGCTTCTCGAGTATTTTTGTGGGTAGAGAAACTCCGCCGACTTCTGGCTATACCCACCTCTCAGATAACTGGACAGACAGCATCATCATAAGCCTGGGGCTTACATGTCTCCCGTTCGTCCTTATTTCCAAAGCAGCTACATTCTCGTTTGAGCCTTAGAACAATCCTATGAATTGGTGTTATCTCTAAATATGGAAACTGGGCAGGTGCGGAGGCTCACGCCTGTAATCCCAGCACTTTGAAAGGCTGAGGCGGGTGGATCACGAGGTCAGGAGTTCAAAACCAGCCTGACCAAGATGGTAAAACCCTGTCTGTATGAAAAAATACAAAAATTAGCCAGGCATGGTGGCATACTGTTAATCCCGGCTACTTGGGAGGATGAGGTAGAGAACTGTTGAACCTGGGAGGCAGAGGTAGCAGTGAGCCAAGATCATGCCACTACACTCCAGCCTGGGCGACACAGCCAGACTCCATCTCAAAAAAAAAAAGAAAAACAACTATGGAAACTGGGAGCCAGAGAGGTTCAATGACCAGAAGCGAAGACTCCTGACCCTATGGAAGGCAGCGCCCACCGCAGCAGGACGAACGGGAATGAGTGAAGCGGATGAAGAACAGGATCGCTCTGATGCAAAGCATCCTCATTTTTATATCTTTCAACCCCTTCCAAACATCACCCAGCTCAATCGCCCCTTCCCCTAGTTTCCTGTCTCAAAGCAGAGCTGGGCTGAATGAACCACATCTCACCTAGGCCGGGACCTACGGAGGGGCCTGTGGCCCGATGGAAAGCAAATCTGAGCACCTAAGTGACAGAGAAGACAAAAAGGAGAGCAGATTTGTGTCCAATTCAAAGAAACAGAAGGGCAGCCACAGCCTTGTGCAGCCAGCTCCAAAATGAGCTGCTGCAGCTTCCAGGAGGAAGTCAGCTGAGTCCAGAACCCCTCATTTCCTCCCTCTGCCCAGTGCTAATCTGAGCTCACAACAATCTCGGGACACAGAGGGGAGGAGACACTGACCTTCACCTGCCTTCGGTTTCTCAGCAGGCAGTCCTGCAGCGCTGGCTCCCATTTCCTGAGCAGGGCGTCCCAAGAGTGGGCATCCCCCAAGTCGCTGCTCCCATCACCACCACAGCCAGCCAATGAGGGATCCAGAGAACTGGAGGAGCCAAGATCCACATCCCGTAAAGAATGCATCTCACGTTCTGGCCTGGAGCTGTTCCCTGCGGCCTGCGCCGAGTCTGCCAAGACCCGTGGAGCCAAGAGACTGAAGGGCCGAGGGAGACATCGAGGGTCTTCGTGAGGCTCGTTCAAGCTGGCAGCTTTGGCTCCCATTTCCCGGGTGCTCTGGCAAGGGGACTCGGTCTCTCTGGATGGTGGGCAGCCTTCTGCTTCTCCACGTTCCCCGGCAGAACCAAGTGAGAGCCGAATAAAGCTAAAGCTTGAGGCAAAGGCACTGTGAGAGACAGGAGGGGCTGCGGGGGCCTCAGGGCCACAGCCAGGGCTGCAGCTACTCAACTCCGCTGATGGCAGAGAGCCTGCTGCCTGGGTACTGCTTGCTCCCTCACTGTAGGCTGCGTCCCAGCTGGCGTCCGGGGTCCCAGAACTGTTCATGGCTGAAAACTCTTGCTGCCACCCAGCATTCCCAGGGCTACATGGCCTGCTTAGTCTGTCAGGCAATCTGGTGCCACCTCTGAGCTGAATCCCAAAGTGTGCTGAGGTTCCTCTCACAGCAGGGGCTGCTGTGCTCTTGGAAACAGGGCTCCCAACCAAGAGGCCTCTCGGGTCAAAGCCACACTGTCTAGTTCTGGACTCCGAATGGTGGGACTCCTCGCCAGACACCCCTCCCGGGACCCGGAACAGTGTGCCCACTGCTGGGGAAAGGAACCCGATCCCAGGCCCTGTCGAGCTTCTCATGTAGCCTGGTCTCCGTGCCAGCCGCCGCCTCCGAAAGCACGCTGCAGGTGGTAAGCAATCCCGGCTGCCTGGGAAGGAAAGAGAAAACAGCACCATCAGCATGCAGATCTTACTGGCCCAGCTGGAACTGCATCCGGAGAACACCCCTAGGTTTAAAGGTCATCTCTCGGTACACCTGACAAAGATAGATGCTGGCTCAGTGGCCCCGGGGCCAACCCATGTTGAAAATCCTGACAATCCTCAGAAGTGTTTGCCTGGAACGTGTAGAAACCAACACAACATCTCAGCAGCTCGGTTTAGCAAAGCAGCTGACACTGCTGCACCCTATGCCAACAGGTCAGCACTAACATAACCTTGGCGGCTCCTGAACCTGCCAACATCTTGCCATCAGTATGGCACATCAGTACTTTCATCCTGGAGTGGGCCTGGAAAGCAAATGATGTGAAACTGGAATGCCAGAGCATGCCTCTAAATGAGATCCAACCATTGACTGCAGCTATTCACTGAACAACGTGTCAATGTTCACTTGCAGTCCCTGCAAGACTGATCTGTTGCTGCAGACCATGGATGGCTGGCTGTGCCGTAATGTATGGCGATGATCTCATCTCACTCAATGGATGACAGGGGGCCGGTTTGATATGTTCTGCAAACCAGCGCTACATTCCCCCCCAGCTATGCTCCCAGAATAGGAACAATAACAAATGCTGACTCCTCATGGCCTGGTTCAAACCTTGATTGTACTACTTGCTGGTTATGTGACCTTCCACAAGTTACATAACCTCTCTGTGCCTCAGTTTCCCGTAAAGTGGTGATATTAACAGTAGTTCTCTCATAAGGTGGTTGTGAGCATTCAACTAAATGAGTTACTATTTGTAAACAGCTTAGAACAGTGCCTGGTACCTATGACAAGAGTGATTAAAATGTTATTATTATTAGATTGCATAGCACTTTGCTACTCAAAATGTGTTTTTAATCTACATTAATTTCATTCACTCCTGATCAAAACCACATGAATCAGCCAGACCAGAAACTACAGCTTTCCTTTTATGTTAAAGGCAACCGTGATTCAGAGAACTTGACTTTCCAGAACTCCTTGCAAGTAGCCAAGTGACCAGGCCAAAGTCTCTTGACTCTACCGGTAGACACACAGCTCTAATCTCAGGACCGGCTACATCGCAAATCAGGCATGAAAGTAAAACCAGGCCACACCAGACACAGCTGTAGTCAGTCATACCGTGGCCTATGGCGAGAAGTGGAACAAAGCTTCACTCCAGGCCCATATGTCCTGCCTTGCCTCCCAGAACAGAAACGGGCTTGGAATCTTTGTCCTGTTAAGCTGAGATCACAGGCATTAAGGATCCCACTGAGCTAGGATCATGGCACATGCCAGCTCCTAAAAGGGGTGGGGGTAGCATTGATAATCTCTGGGAAAATGAGCACAATGGCCTCTAGCCCCCCACTTCCTGACTTGAACATCCGAAGATAACAGAGCCCAGGACTTGCTCACACAGTGACTTGCTCACACAGTGACTTGCTCTTGCCAACTGCAGGGAGCCCCAGAAGGGCTAATGCTGCCCCAGGTACACGGAATTCTGGAAGCTTGCAGGGAAGGGAGGAATGGGAGCAAGGACAAAACATGACTTGCGTATAAATTTATAGTGGAAGCATAAAGGAATATGTTCTCTTCAGGGAAGGGATTTTAATCCCATCTGTCACGGTTGGGCATAAGATCTTAAGACATTCAGGTTAACCAAACATTCAGAACATAAAGAAATAATATATCCCTGTGGATTAATTTGTTTCCAAAGAATCAGAATTCAGTAATAGGCACTAAGCACAAGTGCTCTACTAGTCCAAGCTCATCTCCCTTCGGTAATTCAGAGAGCACTTAAGGCTTCTGAAGTGTCTCAGGTCATTGTAATAAGCATCCAGTAAGCAAGGCAAGTCCAGAGATGGAATAAATCAGCCTGTATTGTATTTCTAATTTAACCATGTAATCCATTTCCATAAACAATTCCTTATTCAACACTAGATGATGCATGGGGTACAGACATGAACAAGACACCATCCCTGCCCCCAAACTGCTTATGATCTAGCAAGAGTTGTCAGTCATGCATACAAAAACTGTTACAAGAATTGAATGTACTCTTTCAATCATGGAGGATGGAGAATTCAATTTGAAATTAAACTAACAGAGGAACCCGGTTAGCTCAGTTGCTTAATGGTTCTTAGGCCTTCCATGAGCTCCAAATTATGTGCCACCCCATAAAACTACCTCATGGGATTAAAGGGAAGAATAGTGATGCATTTAGTGAAAAAGAAGTGAGGGTCTTTACAAACACATCTTTGATTTCTACCAGAAACAAAAAGTTTTTTGCCCTTTGAGAAAATGAACCCTGTGAATCAGTCCCGATGCAGACGTATTGTGTGAGTTACTCAGTTTGAACTCAGAAGCACTAAGGAAGGACAGGGTTATATCCAGAGGCCTGATCCCACAGCTCTCCTATTAATAAAATGGCACAGAAATACTAGAAATAAAGTAGCAAACCCACCAGCCATTGTCCATGTTTGCAAACACAACCACACACACATTTGTACGTACTCATGCAAGCACCAAAGTGAAGAACACAGAGAAGTTTCTAGAACTGATATAGAAGAAGCATGATCATACTCTTCTCTCTTTATTCCCAGAAATGTCAACAAAAACATATAAGTGTAAAATCTAATTAATCCCTACTTTGCTAACTGACAATTTCTGACATTTTAGAATGTATGTTGGTTTGGAATTGACCTCCCCAACCATTTCCTGAGGCTTCCATTGAATTTTCCCTATGATTTTTTTTTTAACTTTTCTTTAATTGTGGTAACACATACCTAACATAAAATTACCATTTCTACCATGTGTCAGTGTATCATTCAGTGGCATTAAGTACATTCACACTGTTGTATAACCATCACCATCACGTGCCTTTAGAACTTTTTCACCTTCCCAAACTGAAACATGGTATCCATTAAATATGAACTCCCCACTTCCCCCTGCCCCAGTCCCTGGTAACCACCATTCTACTTTCTGTCTCTAGATTTTTTCATTAATAATTCAACAACCTAGGCCTAAGCCTGGCCTAAAATTGGAAGTCCAACAGAAAGTACATTTTCAACAATACTATTCATGTGCATGAAAGAACATGGTGGGGACACACGTGTGATATAAAAATAATACAAATGTGATATGGTTTGGCTGTGTCCCCACCCAAATCTCATCTTGACTTGTACTCCTATAATTTCCACATGTTGTGGGAGGGATCTGGTGGGAGATAATTGGAATGATGGGGGTGGTTTCCCCCATAATGTTCTGTGGTAGTGAGTAAGTCTCATGAGATCTGATGGTTTTATCAGGGGTTTCCATTTTTGTATCTTCTGCATTTTCTCTTGCGTCCACCATGTAAGAAGTGCCTTTCACCTCCTGCCATGATTCTGAGGCCTCCCTAGCCATGTGGGACTGTAAGTCCAATTAAACCTCTTTCTTCCGAGTCTCAGGTATGTCTTTATCAGCAGCATGAAAATGGACTAATACGGTAAATTGGTACCAATAGAGTAGGGTGTTGCTGAAAAAATACCCGAAAATGTGAAAGCAACTTTGGAACTGTGTTAACAGGCAGAGGCTGGAACAGTTTGGAGGGCTCAGAAGACAGGAAAATGTGGGAAAGTTTGGAACTCCCTAGAGACTTGTTGAATGGCTTTGACCAAAAGCCTGATAGTGATATGGACAAGGTCCAGGCTGAGGTGGTCTCAGACAGAGATAAGGAACTTGTTGGGAACCAGAGCAACGGTGACTCTTGTTAAGTTTTAGCAAAGAGACTGGCAGCATAGAGATTTGTGCAACTTTGAACTTGAGAGAGATGATTTAGTGTATCTGGCAGAAGAAATTTCTAAGCAGCAAAGCACTGAAGAGGTGACTTGGGCTGGATGTGGTGGCTCATGCCTGCAATCACAGCACTTTGGGAGGCCAAGGCAGGTGGATCATGAGGTCAAGAAATCGAGACCGTCCTGGCCAACGTGGTGTACCCTGTCTCCACTAAAAATACAAAAATTAGCTGGGCATGGTGCACGTTCCTGTAGCCCCAGCTACTTGGGAGGCTGAGGCTGGAGAACTGCTTGAATCCGGGAGGTAGAGGTTGCAGTGAGCCAAGATGGCACCAGTGCACACCAGTCTGGCAACAGAGCGAGACCCTGTCTCACACACCAAAAAAAGGAGGTGACTTGGGTGCTGTTAAAGGCATTCAGATTTATAAGGAAAGCAGAGCATAAAAGTTCAAAAGATTTGCAGCCTGACAATGTGGCAGAAAAGAAAACCCATTTTCTGAGGAGAAATTCAAGCCAGCTGCAGAAATTTGCATAAGTAAAAAGGAGTGAAATGTTAATCCCCAGGACAAGGGGGAAGACATCTCCTCAGCATGTCAGAGGTCTTCACAGCAGCCCCTCCCATCACAGGCCTGGAGGCCCAGAAGGAAAAATGGTTTTGTGGCCGGACCGGGGTCCCCATGCCGTGTGCAGCCTAGGGACTTAGTATCCTGTCTCCCAGCTGCTCCAATCAGGGCTGAAAGGGGCCACTACAGAGCTGGGGCCACGGTTTCAGAGGTGCGAGCTCTAAGCCTTGGCACCTTCCACTTGGTGTTGAGTCTGCGAGTGCACAGAAGTCAAGAATTGGGGTTTGGGAACCTCCACCTAGATTTCAGAGGATGTATGGAAATGGCTGGATGCCCAGGCAGAAGTTTGCTGCAGGTGCCAGGTGCTCATGGAGAACCTCTGCTAGGGCAGAGGAAGGAAAAGGTGGGGTTGGAGCTCCCACACAGAGTCCCTACTGGGGTACCACCTGGTGGAACTCTGAGGGCCACCATCCTCCAGACCCCAGGATAGCAGATCCACCAACGGCTTGCACCGTTTGCCTGGAAAAGCCACAGACACTCAGTGCTACCCTGTGAAAGTAACCAGGAGGCAGGCGGTACCCTGCAAAGCGACGGGGGCGGAGCTGCCCAAGACCATGGGAACCCACCTGGATGTGAGACCC